AAAAGAAAAACGCATTGGTATACATTATGATTTTATTAAAATAAAAAAAAAAAAAAACTATTAGTATATCAAATAATAAGAATTTTTTAGTTAAAACTAAATTGAAGTAATTGGTTGATGCATTAAAAAAAAGAAAAAAGCATTGAATGAGAAGGATGAAAAGAAAGAAGATGATGGATTGTCAACAAAAATGATAATGAAATAAGTATAAATGAATAATGAAATAAAAGTAGAGATATTTGTAAAAATACAAATGGGAAAATATAAAAAATGAAAGAAAAAAAGAAAACAGAAATTAAAATGAGAAGAACTTGAAAGAACAAATAGGATATTTTACCTGTGGAAAAGAATGAGAAGTGGATAGAAACCCGAAGATGAAAAGGAGAAGGCAATAGGATGTTCTGGTTTTAGAGTAGTTCTTATATAGTCAAGATATATTCGACAAAAATTCTGTTGATTATGTTTTAAATTTAATTAGTCGAGAGATTTAATTTTTTTGGGTTGAATGGATGTGATTCAAATATAATTGACAGCGTAATTTGCTGTCGATTATGTTTCTATAATCAACCGTCATTGACTATCGATTATAAATATAACTGACAGCTACTAGCTGTCGATTATAGGCTCTATTTTTTTTTTATTTAAACTAATGTGCTATTTCTTTAAATTGATGTTCAATAGATTTTAATTATCTTATCAAGAGGTTTGGTTTATCTAGTTCTTCCCTCTCTTTTTTTGGGTTTTTTTTGCTTAGTTTTTTTTATTGATTATTCTGTAAAATTTTTGGTTTTAAAGTTACAAAGAATCCATTTTTTTAGGGCTTGCACTATTAGACATTTGATATTTTGTAATTATATATACAAAAAATATATATAATATTAATAAAAAAGAATCTAATATTTGATAATGTTAAATTTTTATTATCAAATTTATAATTTATAAGATATGTAATAATTATAAATAGTACCAATGAAAAGTTAAATATTAACATATATATTTATAAAATTTTGATATAAGTATAATCGACA